TATGACCATGCCACTTCATGGTTCACATAAGGTAGTCTATATTTGGCACTGAATTATTAGATTTTCTGATGACAGACTTAGCACTCAACAGGATAATGATTCACCAAATCAGTTCTCCATTACAAACATTTTAATTATTCATGAAGTTCACCATAATCATGTTTTCAGAGGGAAGTATAACTAATAAGATATGAAACTAGTTTGAATCTCTCCCTCAATAAAAGAGTACATGGTCACTTTTCCTAACTACATTTTAACTAATGGTTGCTATCATGAACCATATGCCTTAAGTCTCTTCCTGTGATGAGTTCATTTTAAGGAATATAAATCTTCTTTCCTACCTTTAGATTGCAATTAGAGACTTTTTATCTTCATTGAAGTGCCCATCACTGTGATTTAATGTAGTAGCAAGTTGGTAGTCTTCTAACACACAGTAAAAGATTGTTAAACAAGGTGACTATACTATTTTCAAATATGTTGTAATTTAAAAAGTAATTAGAAAGTAAGAATCAGCACTAGCCCGGAGTCAGGAGGACCTGAGTTCAAATCCGGCCTCAGACACATAACACTCACTAGCTGTGTGACTCTGGGCAAGTCATTTAACCCCAATTGCCCTCACCAAAAAAAAAAAAGAAAAAGAAAAAAAGAAAGTAAGAATCAAAATGCAGTATGGGCTAGTAGAAAGAATGTGGAACTTGGCATCAAGAGATCTGGGTTCAAATCTCAATTCTGCATTTACTAGCTGTGTGACAGTAGTCAAATGTCAGGTCTCACCCAGTGTCAGTTTCCTCATCTGTAAATGAGAATAACGGTATTTCAATGCATCTGTGATTTCATCAATATTTTCTCCACCCATTCAGAGCACATACTGCTTGTGCTTTCTCATTCTGGGCAATTCTTGTCCAAATCTTTCCATAAATATTCTGTGAAGGAGCTGCCTTCTCTCCTTCCCCAAGCCTTTCTTTGATGTTTTGACATTTCTTAAATAGCAGTATAACAATCAAGCTGCCCTCAGTTTTTCCATGTGGTTGGTCCACCACTTTTTTCTGGACATACAAGTCCTTGATGATGTCTTTTAGGCTTCTTCTTATGTGCAAGTCCTGTCCTAGTACATTGTCAACCTCTTGCCTGCACCACATGTCTTTCTATTGCCCTTTGGGCCACCTACAGTTTTTATTTTTCGGAGCTCATGCTGATTACTGGGAGACAGTAGTTGATAACAGAAAAAAAAAATTGTGGCAAAGAATTGTGCCCAAAATAGAAACTGGAATGTACTACCTACTTACAAATATTATATGGAAAGCACTTTGCAAAGCACTACAGGAATATAAGCTATTGTCATCACTAGCCTCCCAGAGTCATTGAGAGGAAAGTACTATGTGAATTGTAAAGTGCTATGCAAATGTGAGCTATAATGATGGTTGACTTATCAAAAGATCACTTGGGCATAGGGCATAGAAGCTAGTGTCATGGCAAATGAGTGCAAGGTTGCCTTGCAGGTACAGTACTCCTAGGCCTTTTTTAGATGAATACTTAATTTTCTATTGCATTAATCAAAGTAGCCAAGCTTTTCACAGTTGATCATCATTACAACATTGCTGTAGCTGTGCTTAATCTTCTGGTTCTTCTCATTTCCCCTTTTTCCTAGTGCATCCCTCATGTGAAAATTTGATAAACATGATTTCAGCCAAATCATTGATAAAAATGTTGATAGACATAGGTTCAGGTATTTGAAAGACTGTCAAATGGAAGAGGGATTAGACTTGCTTAATTGGCCCCAGGGAGAAGAACTAGAAGCAATGAGTGCAGTTGCAGAGAGGCAGATCTGAGCTCAATATAAGGAAAAGCTCCCTGACAATGAGATCAAGCACAGCAGGAGCGATAGCGAGTTTCCTGTCCCTGGATGATCACTTGTGATTGAAATGGGTTCCTGCTTAGGCATAGGATAGACTATAGAGCATCTGAAGACCCTTCAAAATCTGAGATTCTAAAATATCACAATCAGACCCTTAATATTATCAATCGAGCTTCTCTGATCTGATGGACTCCCAGGCCTAATCATTCTATTCAGCCCCATTTTAACTTGACCCCTGTCCTGGCAATGACATACTACAACATAAACTAGTATTCTTTCACTGGAGATTAATTTAAGGTACATTTGCTATTTTAATTAATTAGATTGATCGAGTTCAGTTATTATTTGTTTCTATAACATATTGTTTGGAGAGAAACAGAAGTGTCCTGAGTATCTCTGTCAAGTCAGAGGATCTGGATTCAAATCCTGGCTACTATTTACTAGATTTGTGATGTTGGGCAAATCACTTCACCTCTTCAGTGATTCAGGTTTCTGATTTGTAATATGAAGGAGATTTTGTAACTTCAATGATCCTTTCCAACTCTAAAGTCCTATGATCCTACACACCCTGTGCTGTCACACCTCTGTGTTTCTGCTGACATGTTTCCTGTGTCTGAAATGTTCTCCCTCCCCCTACTGTTTGTTGTATTCCTTCCTCTTCTTTAAAGCTCAGCTCCAATTCCACCTCTTCCAGGAAGCCTTATTTAACCATTCCTGTCAGTAGTTACTACACTGCTCAGATCTCAGGTGGCACTTAGCATACACCTATCTAATGTACTTATCAGGTAAATTATAGTTATCTGTAACTGGATTATTTCACTCTACTAGGTAGAGTTTTTTGTATTTAATATTTTTTCTCTCCCTTCCCCTTTCTCCCAGTGCATCACTCTTTCTCACCCCTTAATTTTATTTTTTTTAGATGTCATCTCATAATAGTCAACTCACACCTGTGCCCTCTGTCTACATATACTCCTTCTAACTGCCCTAATAATGAGAAAGTTCTTAGGGGTTACAGACATCACTTCATATATATATATATATATATATATATATATATATATATATATATATATATATATATATATATATATATATGTATTATATATGTATATGTACATATACATATATATGAATATAAACAACTTTAATCTTATTGATTCCCTTATGATTTGTCCTTCCTGTGTACCTTTTTATGCTTTTCTTGAGTCTTCTCTTTGCATTTCAGATTTTCTATTCAGCTCTGGCCTTTTCATCAGGAATGCTTAAAAGTCCTCTATTTCATTGAATATCCATTTTTTCCCTTGAAGTTTTACTGGGTAGGTGATTCTTGGTTGTAATCCTAGCTCCATTGCCCTCCAGAATATTATATTCCAAGTCCTCCTATCCTTTAATGTAGAAGCTGCTAAATCGCGTGTTATCCTGACCTTGGAGCCACGATATTTGAATTATTTTTTTCTTGGCTGCTTGCAATATTTTCTATTTGACTTGTGAATTTGGCAGTTTTCATATAGCTGTTTTGACATTGCTGTACTCTTCTGAGTTTGTGTTTTCATCTTCCCTGTTACCATTGTAACTTTCTATGATCGGGTTCTTTTTCAGTTGTTTTTTTGCTCATTTTCCAGCTTATTTCATGACTTTTAATTTTATGTTGGGCTCTGCTTCTGGGGTGGAAGCGACACTGTCCCAAGCTTCTTGTGCTAAGGGCATGGGGCCTCACTGTGGGCTTGCTGCACCCAATTTTGCTTTTTTTCTTTTCAGTAATTTTTTGTACAACTTTTTTCCATTTAACTAATTCTGCTTTTTAAATAGTTCTTCTCTTCAGTGGATTTTTGTGACTCTTAGTATTTGGCCTTTTTTGTTTTTAAAGGTGTTATTTTCTGCAGTATTTTTTGTGCCTCCTTTACTAAGCTGTTGACTCATTTTTCTTTTTTTTTTCTTTTTTTTTTGCATCACTCTCATTTCTTTTCACAATTATTCTTTTATGGCTGTTATTTGATTTTTTTTTTTTTTGCTTTTAGGCAATTGGGGTTAAGTGACTTGCCCAGGGTCACACAGCTAGTAAGTGTCAAGTGTTTGGTCTGAGGCCAGAATTGAACTCAGGTCCTCTTGACCTTAAAATCCTTTTTGAGCTCTTCCAGAAATTTCTTCTCTTCTGTGGAAAAAAAAGTGGAATTCCTAATATTTAGTAGATATGGATTCATAAATAGTTATATTAAAAGTGCCCCTTTTGATACTTTGTAGGACTAGACACAATAATAACAAAATTAATTTGGAGGAACAAAAGGTCTAGAGTCTTAAGGGAAATACTGAAAAAAAGAAAAGTGAGAATGAAGAAGCAAAAGCACTTCTAGACTCAAATTATGCTATAAAGAAATAGTCATCAAAACTATTTGGCACTGGTTAAAAAAAAATTTAGAAAAATAGAGCAGTGGAATAGACTGCAAAAATTAGAAACAAATGGACTTAATAACTCATGTTTTGATAAACCTAAGAACATGAGTTAGTTGAGGAAGAACTCTCTATTTGACAAGAGATGCCAGAAAAATTGGAAACAAGTTTGACAGAAATTAGATGTAGGCCAGCATTTTAAACCATATATTTACAATAAGCTCGAAATTGATACATGGCCTGAATATAAAACTTCAAACCCTAGAAAAAAAAAGTTTAGAAAAGGATGAGATCAGATACTTTTCATGGCTAAGAGAAGAGTTAGGCAATTGGGGTTAAGTGACTTGCCCAGGGTCACACAGCTAGTAATGGTCTGAGGCCAGATTTTAACTCAAGTCCTCCTGACTTCAGGGCTAGTGCTCTGTCCGCTGTACTGCCTAGTTGCCCCTTAAGAGAAGGGTTCTTAACCAAACAAGACACAGAGGCAATCACAAAAGATAAAATAAGTTTCCAGTTCATGAAATTGAAATGCTCTTGCACTAACAAAATCAGTGCAATCAAGTTAATGAGGTAAGCTGTCCCTGGGTATAAGGGTTGGGATGGGAATCTTCATTAAATCTCTGATAGTGGTCTTCCATCTAAGATATATAGGGAACTAACACTTAGTTTTACTATAAAACAAAAAACAATAGTCACTCACCCTGTGTATAAGTGAGCATCCTTTACCTCCCTATTCCATATCCCCAGATCCTTCCACATTTTCTTTTTTTTTTTCTGCCTTAAAAAGCTGCTTTATTCTGAAATAGGAAAGGGGAAGGGTACCAGGAGAGAGGATGGGAGGGAATATTGGGAGAGGGAGGGTGGAGGGATAATGATGGAGATAGTGGTGGCAGGCTTGTGCTGATGCTCACAGCATCCATGTCAGAACGGTTAGGCTCAGCCCAGCGATGATGGTAGTGAAGCTTGATGGAGCTTGCTTTGGGCCAGTAGGGCCAGCATTACAGAGGTTTCCTTGGCAGCAGTAGATGATGAAGTTGTAGGTAACCTCCATGTAATTGAGAGGTTCTTCCTTCCCGCAGCTGGTGACTGCCACACATCCTTTGTTCATAATGTGGGCGAGGCCAGTGGCTGTACCATGTCCAACGTAGCAATCCTCTTCTTCCCCGCAGTACATGGGAGCACCTATGCAGTGGTTCGAATTAGTAAAGTCACAATAAAAGCAGTGCTTGGTAACTGTCGGTGTGATGCAGGCTAAGACCACAATCAGGCACCGGGCAAGTGATGATAGAGTGCTCATGGTCAGAATGGAAGATGGCTTGGGAAGAGTAGCGACTATGTGGTTCAAAGGACCTTGCTGTTCTTGGCAGGTGGCCCTTCAATTCAGTTCGTGCCTCTGTCTGTGTTCTAAACCTTGCCCTTGTCAGGTGCCAAGTCACTAGCTAAAATCACTGTCCTTTTACTGGTCAAAATCAATCTCTTCCTGAGCTGGTGATCGCTGAGGATCTTGGGTAGTCTCTCCCCTTCAGGAGTCTCTCTTCCCCCACTTGAAACAGGGAGTTTTGTTCAGTTTCCAGTAGCTCCCTAGACCAGAGTAGGGAACAACAGCTCTTCCCTGGCCTTAGGAATGAAAAGATGCCAACTGTTTTTGGTTTTATACTGAAGAAGGGGAGTGATCTCACAGAGTTGCTCCTCCCTGACAGGTCAGAGGAAAGTCTATGAGGTCACTGGCTTTTATCCTGTCTCACAAAGCCTTGGAAGGATTGTTCTTCTCCCCCCATGGAGGGCCCAATCACACAGGCCTGAGGGAAGAAGGCTCACATTTTGGTGGGTTCACCATGCTTGATTTCCTCCTTCTGGCTAAACAGTTTAGAGCTTCTGCTGCCTTTCACTCAATTAATCTCATCTCTATTTCCCTAGATTCCCTCATGAGTTGATCATCTTAATAAGAGACAATCCTGTTGCCTGCCCCCACCTCTACCCCCCCCCACATTTTCTAGTTCCCTGTGCCCTCTTCCCTTTGCTCTAGTCTCTTAAGAACAGGTAGCCTTTCTCCTGCTCAGAGCCAAGGCCTTTGATGCCATTTCCTGGAGCAAGCCCTTTTGAACATCCCAGGCTTGTACTGTGTGTGTGTGTGTGTGTGTGTGTGTGTGTGTGTGTGTGTGTGTCTGTCTGTCTGTCTCTGTCTCTGTCTCTCTCTCTCTCTCTCTCTCACACACACACACACACACACACACACACACACTTAGTCTCCCTTCATTTAATAGCTAAAGAAACCAAGACCCAGAAATAGGGGGAAGAATTTATTCTGGGTCACACACGTATTAAATAGCAGAGTCTGGATTCAAACCCAGGGCTTTTGACTCCAACTCTGGTGCATTTTCCACTAAACCATAATCCTTGAACTCAAGGAGCTTACAGTTTAGTAGAAGATACATAATGGAGACATTTGAATAAAACTGCAGATGTTTCCAAAGCAACATGTTAGCAAATACTTGTAAATGTACTCAAAGAGTCAATACCTAAACTCTGTGGTGACATGGAATCAATAGCTTGAACAGAAGAAACACAGAAGACAAGGGTGGCCACACCAGTGTCATGACATAGTGATGGGGATGGGACCTGGACCCCAAAAAGGAAAAGCCCTGGACTTTCCCACTTGGCCAAATCTCTGGCCTTTGCCTGAGGCTATGATCCTATCAACTGGCCTTTTATTATTGCCTGTGCCCAATCTCCCAGTTCTCTGTTACCTTTAACCTAGCCTAGCCCTCCATTGTCTTACTTCCCAATGCCTGGGGCCTTTCCCCCACTTCCTGCCCTTAATCCTATCAAGGCTCCATTCTCCCTTGGCCATGTGGTCCAGGTCCCTGGCTTTCTTTTACCTCACAGTCAACCCCGCTTACTGGCCACTCCCATTCAGATCCTCCTTAGACCCCTCCTCCAGTCACCCCAGACTAGTTGGCCACTCCTAGATCCCTCTCACAGTCTTTCTGTATATAAGGTCCATCTGGCCTCCCTTGAGGTGCTCAGATTCTTAAGATCTGGCCTGCTTGCATTAGCAATATAAATGCTTAGATTCCTTAAGAGTCTGTCCAATATGGTGGATTCTTTAAATTTCACTCATCCCTGATCAATGTTCTAATAAACCTTGTCTTTGGCTGAAAGAAGGCTTGGGTAGAATTCATTTGGGCAGGACCTGCATGTTGTGATTTTGGGGTCCCAGTACCCCTAAACCTCTAAACCTCAACAATGAGAGCAGAGACCCAGCAGAGCAGGGAGAGTGAATGCAGAACAAAGAGCATTGGTGAGAGAGGACTTGAGCCTCTTAGGGGCCTGCTCTCCTTTTGTCTTTGTATCTCCAGTGCCTACCACCTACCTGACAAAGAGAGACGATTAATAAATGCTTTTTGATTAATTAGTTTAGTTGGCAGCCTAGAACCAGATGCTTCTAGAAACTCACTGGTGGCAGTGATTGAAAGCAGGACTGTATCAAGCAGCAACGGAATGTTCCAAGATACTGATCATCTTTATGTATGGGTGATCTTGTTCAGGTAATTAGTAAGCATTTGTTAAGGACCTTACTTAGGTGCCAGGCACTGTTCTAGGTGCTGGGCCTGGGAAAACAAACAAACAAAAATGAAACAATCCTTGCCCTCCAGAAGCTCCCATTCTATCAGGGGACACACGTACATATAAAAATATATGCAGAATAAATACAACATGAATACATGGTAGTGAGGAATGGAGGAAACTAAGATGGAATAGATTGAGGAGAGACTTGAGGCAAGGTCACCTATTAACAAGCCATTACAGTAGTCCAAGTGAGAGGCAATGAAAGCCTGGTCTAAGGTTGGGGCTGGGTGGACTTGAGAGAAGGGGACAGGTGGGAGAGACACTGTGGAGGTGGAAATGGCAAAATGCCACTTAGCAGCTGAGGATACAAAGAAAGGTAAAAACAGATGCACATTCAAAAAGCTCACATTCTAATGAGGAAGATAGAATGGAATTAACTAGGTGTATACAAGACAGATGAGGAGATAAAAAATAATCTGAGAGGGTAGGCACTAGCAGCTAAGGGAACTGGGAAAGGCCTTTTGTGAAAGGTGGGATTTCAGCTGAGTCTTGAAAGAAGCCAGAGGTGAGGAGGAAAGGAGGTCCCCTCATGGAGGACACAGAATAGGAGATGGAGTGTCATGTGTGAGGAATAGTGAGTGGATAGACCAGTGTAGCTGGATCCTAGAATATGGAGGACAATAAAGAGTAATAATACTGGAAAGGTCGGAAGAGGACAGGTTATGAGGAGTTTTAAATGCCAAACAGAAGACTACATTTTATCCTCGTGGTAATAACGAAGCATTAGATACTTAGGGTGAAGAATCAAATATAACACAAACATTATAAACATGGGAAACTGAGAAAATGGTGGTGCACTTAATAGAAATAATAAAGTGTGGTAGAGGGGAAGATTTTGGGGAAAAGATAATAAATTCTGTTTCAGATGTGTTCTGGAATATGTTTGGAGCATCCATTAGAGCACCTGTAAGGTATACTTTGTATGCAAGATTGGATCAAGGTCACTGTACCAGGAAAGCTCCTGCATTCATGGTGGTCTTGGTTTTCCATTCCTCTGTGAGTGGTTCTAATCTCAGTAGTTTCTGAGTGAGAGCCTAAAGGACTGGTACTGTCTATGTATCTCTGTGTGTTCTCAGAGTACAAGGACCCTTGGTAGGGCATCTGTTTGTCCTTGTCGATCTATACAGAGTAGTCGTAAATTAAGACTGCAGTCTGGATTGGTCAGATTACAATAAGGATCAGTCTTTCCTGACCCAGGGTGTACTTGAGAGTGCCATTTTGAAGTGTTCTCTCTCTTTAGGAGTATGGAAAAATATCAGGAAAGATATTAAAGTCTTGATAATCAGAGTATGGTTAATCATGGAAGGCTTCCAGGAGGTGAGTTTTTCTTCAGTTTTGAAGGAAGTGGCATATGGATTAACAGGAGGAATTGGGAAGGTTGTTCCAGATGGGAGTGATGACTTGTACAGGCAACGTGGGGGAGAATAAGCAAATTTGTAGTTGCTGATAATTGGTGTTTGGGAGTAAAGAAAGTAGAACTGGTGAAATAGAGAAGGGAGACATGTTGCTGGAGAGCTTCAAAGCAGGCAGGGCTTGGATTTCTTTGTGTTGGGTGTTTAAAAAGAAACACAACCCACATTACCTGAGTAATGTCAATGACTGCCAACAGCGTATGCAAAAATAGATCCTCCCAGTAAATACTTAGGGTCTATAATTTAACCTTCCCAAGTGATGTTAGGAACCTCCCTCCCAATATTTACAGTGTCATGATAATAATTAACTGCAACTTTGGCTCTGCTAACAAAGATATAATATAAAGCCCCAAAATTTCTTAACCTTAACAGATGTACCAGAAAGCAAAGGCTCACATTCCATTCTAAAATGCAGCTTAATCTCAGTGTTTGTATGCTATGGACCTGAGAGAAGAATTTAAGGAATCTATGCCTAGTATTATATCTGTGTTTAGGAACTATATATTGTCAAATGTCACAACAACAAAAGCCACTATAACAAAGGAGTTTTTAAATCAAAATTGCAACTGATGTGAAACTTGGAAAGGACAACTAACCTGTTAGATGACAGCACAAGGTTTCCAGAATATCTCAACAGGCTAACTAGAAAGAAAGGGCAAATCTAGTAAAGTGAAATTTAAAAGAGAAATATCTTCCTTTCTCCTCTTCTCTCATTGATTTCCTGTCCGTCCTTTAAAGACCAATTCAAATGACACATCCTGTGGAAATTATTCTCTGATCCTCTCTCACTTGAACTGTCTTTTATCCCTCACTCTGGTTGGTCTGTATCACTACACCTTTTCTGGTCGTACATGTTCTTGTATTTTACAATAATCCCTATTAAAAATGAGCAGGAGCATAATTATAGCAGGGTAGCTGGGACTTTTTCCCAAGGTACCAAAATTTAAAGAACAATAACAGCATTTGTATTCCTTCAGTAAGTAGAAACAATTGAACTTCACCTTGGTTTGCAAGAATAGTTAACATAGCCCATTTGGTAGCATCTTTCCATTTCCCCACCCTGTGGTAGCATCCCAGATGTGCTCTTTCCCAGTCCAACTCTTCCAGGCTCCTTCCCCTGTTGGAAAAATACCCAGTAGCTTCTTCCAGTGCTCTGAGATCTGTATACAAGGGAACCAGGATCCTTTTCTGTTCCCCCTGGGGTAGTATCCCACTTTCTGTCTCCCCTTTGGGCCTGGAGTGGTAAAGTCCTAGATCTCTCTCCTACCCAACTGATTTTCTTTCAAAAAGTTGGGGTTTTTTTTATCCCTTTCAGACTGCTTATCCTGGGTAAGTTTTATGGTGCTTATCATGAGACCCAGAATCACTAGTTAGAACTCTAAAGATGAAAACTTCTTCAGGTTTGACTCAACCTTCCCCTCTGTTAAATAGGCCCTTCAAATCACACTTGTTCCTGTAATGTCCCAAAGCTTGCTTCTGCCCTGAGCTTCTTCATCACCCCTGCCAGTGCTTCTTCATCTTATAGCTCTCTGCTGGGGGGGTTCCTTGTACCCCATGCCACCTCCTGAGGAATCACTTTCACTTGGATCTCAAGAAAGGTATTATTCTAGTGTATTCACACTAAATCCTTGTTTGTTAGTTGGAGGG